AAACAAAATTTTAATGTCATTTAAGAACTCAAATGGTGGTTATTAACCACACGACGGTGGTGAGAGGTCACTGATAACGTCACCGGCCAGCTTCCTCATATGTGTTCCTCCACTGACCTACTGGAATCTGGAATTCTCTACTGTGTTTAGGGATAGACAGACAGACACGTGTCTGGTGGAGGTTTTGGACTCCACGTGGCGGCTAAATGGGAGCTCCCAAAAATTGGACCGGCTTTGATGTGGATTGGGATTGCTTGTCGGTTAACCAAACCATGTGAAGGTTAAGACGTAGTTTTAAAAACGGGGAAAATGAAAAGGTGCCACGTGGAATCGAGAAAAGATGCGGACCGCGTTGCGTGCCGTATGCCCTGACGGTTGCGCGTCACTTAAGATACACTAGTCCACTGCACCATACTTTGCTGCCGCCATTGGTGTTTGATTTGACGAAAATGCCCTTCTCTATTTATCTCTTTTTTTTTTTTTAATTTTTTTTAACAGAGTTATTTTGTGAGGGATGGAGGAGTAAAGGATTTGAACTCAAATATGGTGAAAAACATCACGTGAAAAGTAGTTAGTTGCTTTACTTGGAGCTTCTCATCCAATTATCTAATTTTGTAACAAGAAATGCTCAAATTAAAATTTTCTTTGGGACGTATTTTTTTATTATATTTTTAATACCTGAAAATTACATTAAGTTGTAGCTTAAATTATATGAAATAAAAAGTTCTCTTAACGTTTATTTTTTTATATAAAATATTTAAATTCAAAATTTTATTTTTAAAAAATTGAATTTTTTATATTCAAATTAATAAGTTATTAGTTTTTTAAGAAGTATTACTTGTATAAAAAGTTAGGTGTTGTGTTTACTATTCAAATTTAATTTGCCATATTATGAGAGTGTTGTTTTAAGGTTATGAAAATAGTTATTAGTCGTTAATTTTAATTAAATACAATAAATATATTAATTATATAAAATGTATTGATTGCAAACCCTCAATTCCAACATATATAGGTTGTCACTCAGTAGAGGGTCCATTGCTCCAGCCATCTGACAGGGGTTCGAGCCCCAAAAGCTCCATCTCCCTTCTCACAGAGCCCAGAATTGCTTTAGTCAAAAAAAAAAAAATTGTATAAAAGTTGGAATGGAATGGAGAATTCAGTAAGTTGGCAATACTGAATTTTTAATTTTTTTAAATAAATTTTTTAGTGGTGGAACTGGGATGGAAGTCTGTCACTAACAAGTTTAGAACAAATGAACATTTTTTAACATAAGTTGATTTAAGATATTACCAAACAATGAGCGAAAATAGAAATTAAAATGTGAGAGTGTATGTCATTTCCAAATTCACAAACTATTCATCTAAAGTCTGAAAATGAGGGGTTTTCCTTAAAAAAAAAAAAAAAAGAGTCTGAGATTGAGGGGTAATTTTGTCAAAACAGGAGCGTAACCGGAGGAGGTTAGTTGTTCTGGAAAGCAAAACAAAATTAAGGATAATCATAAGACGAAAGGATTCCACACGTGGCCAAAAATTGATGTTTCCTCGGGAACATTAGCTGTCTTCTAGACATGCCAACTCAGCACGAACCGAACTTGATTTTACCCCAAACCGCCGGCTATTCTTCCTCTTACCAATTAAATTTCACCATCTCAAAATCACTGTTTGTAACAAGATTCCGACTTTCGTGAATTTCTCCTACCCTCTACCGAACCCACCGAATTGACAATCTCATTCTTTAAAATTTTCATTTTTAATTTATTTTATTTTCTTTGCTAGATGGGTATTTATCAATAATAAAATTTTGATGAAATTTGTTTGGTACGTGTAGATAATGTAATTTACAAGTGCTCTTCATAAGTGTAATCAAGTT